CGGTAAAAAACGCTCACAAAGTTTACGATGACAAAAAACGTATACAGTTAACGAATTAGTTTAGGGGCTAGACGTTGCATGGTTTGATACACGATAACCCGCCGCCGCAATAACACGCAGCCGCGAGAGGGCACTATAATAAGCCAATGCCGCCCACTGACTTGTCAGTAGCAACGTCTAGGGCATTCTCCTGGAATCTCCCCCGAAAATGGGGGAAACTAGTGCGCATGCGCGATGTCTCTAAGCAATTACGGTCAATTTTTAGTCCCACATAATGTACTAGGCCTACTCACAACAAAAGAGCTGACCAGTGAAGTTGCACAAAATTATTGCTGCATCTTTTTTTGTACTTTAAGAAATTTGAGAGTTTGCTTCGGAACTACTATGATTTTGTTTTAATTGCGCGCTGCACGTATAATGCCAAACAGGTGCGCGCGCATTTCGTCTTCGAAATTTTCCCTGCAGATGGTTTAAAGTGTAACACTAGCGTCCGCAACAACAACTGAAGATAAAATTCGGAATATACTTAGATGATATAAGTGTTCAACTACTCGTGAAATTGGTAAATTCCTAGAAATTGGGATAAATACATACATTTGGGGAAGTTTTCGAACGATTTCTTCAAGACTTGAAGGTCAGCTTTGACAGTAACCAGTATTGACGTTTCGGCATCGATGACGGCGTTTTTTTTTCACTAACATGAAGTTTGGAATTTATTCTTCTGTAAAATTGTAACATTTCAATCATACCGAGCATATTTTCTGAAGAAACGCAACGTTCAAAAGGCCATGTTTTGAGGGGTTCACGAAATTCAATGCTCTGTTACAGCGTCTTAGTACTTAATCGGATTAGCTTTTCTGACAACGACCAACGCTTTGCCGTAGCAACCATATGGCTGATTGATGGTGTTGTTGAAGTCTTGGTCTTTTGTTTTTTTCTAGCTCTTGTAGTCGAGGCCATCGAATAAATATGCTTTGTTTATACTTATTTTGGTTAAGGCATATTTCTTAATTATTCTATGTTCCTTATTTTTTTTTTGCAGATTTCAAAAAGAGCTACATTCTATTGAGGAAACCATTCAGTCACGTGGTGACAAACGGAAAGTTCCGTACACATATCTGAATCCGCGAGAAATTCTAAATGCTATCAGTATCTGATAGGCAGACGTTTATATATGATTTTTGTTCACCGAGTCACAAAAACAATTCTGTACATGGAATGTTTTGACTTTCTGACCAGAGCGCAGAGGTGTTGCCATTGTTTTGAGCATGTTCAAAAACGTTGGCCCTCATCGGAGACCATTAAGACCCTCTGGCTCCCATCTAGCGACCTATGTAGTTGTCACTGCGATCTAGTAGTTGTTGTTGCGCCCGAGCCATTTTTCAAGGACGCAGTGAGAGCGCAAATATGATCGCAGACAGTCTGACTGGGCCTTTAACTAAAAGTTTCTGTCAAAAAGGGGCGCGCCAAACAAAAAAAGTCGTCTTGCAATGAGACAAATCTGCTTGCCTAACGGTATACTTGAATGATCTTTTAACAGAGGGCGCGCCACACATTATAGTGGTCACCGCCACTTACAAAGCATCAACACAGATGCATCACAATTGAGCAAAAAACAACGCAAAGAAGAAGACCGAAACAATAATGTTTTAATTGGCAAAAAATACAATCCGACCGAAAGTCAATGTTCATTTAAAAATGACACACTCCTTATTTTTGGCAATAACTAAAAAAATAACAGATATGTTAAATTTAAATTTTGTCCAGTAATATAGGTTTCCCCGGCCAACTTCACCAAGTTTCATTCAATTTAACGCCTGGCTCATTCAATTTAGATTGAAATTGAAAGATCAGGCAGATCGTCATTCGACATTCAATAAGAATATTTGATTTCACTATCCGAGCAATCTATCGCCTTTTAGCTTCCACTCGTCCCTGTAAAACGTGCATTCATATTAAAAGTATCGCGTTGTTCATTCAATTTCGTTTGAACCAGCAGTAAGGAGTTGATCGGGTATTCCTTTTCATTAATGGGCAAACATATTTCACATTTTGTCAAGCATGTTTTTAGACTTTCTGCATGTAAAATTCTGAATTATCTCGGCGTAAATCATATCTGATGTCTTCCATCCTTAAATGCACACCTCTCTTTCTTATTAAAGGGGCCGTACAATGATTTTTTTCGCAGGAATACATTTTGTGCAACTCTCTACTACTCTGAAATGTATGAAAACTATTTTGACATGCCTGTTTGGTTAGTCTTATTGCAAAGTGCACGTCTTTGAACATTTATATATGTCCATGCTTTTCCAGACTACTGAGCGCGCTGTTGGTGTGATGTGATTTCAGGAAGATACTGTTCAGTTTAGGGGGGTTCTTCAAAATTATTCACAAAAATTTTGCTAATTGAAAACATTTTGAGAAGGGATTGCTCATTGGCTTACTGCCAAGTACTGACCCAACGAAAAGAAATAAAATGACAGCAACATTTCCAATATTCCAGCAACTTTTTGTGCTGAAATAGCCAAGTAACATTAAACTGCCCGGAATGACATCAAAATTTTGCTCAAGCGTGAATATGGAACTTTGCATTAGCATAAAAACGGAGAAGGCACAAAAAAAAAAAATGCTATAAGGAAAAAAAAAATGAAAATGTTCCAGCCCCCCCAGCGCCCCCCCCCCCCCCCCCACTGAAAAATTCCTGGCTACGCCACTGGGCCAGGGCGCCGTAATGACGCAACTCGGGCGCTGTGCGAGTGTGAATCGTGTGACATTAAAGTGGCATTGATGCAGCCTAGGCGCAAGGCAGTCGATGTAGTCTCCATGACAAAGTAACTCGACTGCGATGAATTTGTAGAAAAAAAAATGAAACTTGACTGCGGATTGACCGTTTTATGAAGGACGTATGAACAGCGAGTACAGCGTAGTGTGAGCGCTGCAGTGACAGCGCATCGGCAGCGTCTAGATCGAGTAATTGGGCTTGACAAGGGCGCATAGAGAGCGAGTTGAGCGCATCGTAAGCGTAAGATGAGCGTAGTATGAGGGTAGCCTGAGCTATTTTCTGGCTACTTAAGACAGACAATTGTCATTTTCTTGCGTCCTCTCTGCAATTGTTAAATTTATTAAATATTTTTGGTCGCCGTAAGGTCTCCTATGAGAGCGCATCTAATGTGACAGGCCCTTAACAAAAGTGTGTCGATAACTTGCCCTTGCAAAATAGGGAAACAAACGAAATTCCCTTTAAGTAAAACGGTTATTTTCCCCCTTTTACAGCAGGAATGCTTTGCTTTTATTCCTATATTGACTTCATTCGGATTGTTTTGTTTGTTGTTGAAAACGTGAAATTAAAATTCTTGACGAAATTTCAATTTAACATATCGTCACCGACACCACGAAGTAACACATTTTTAAACATTATTCATCAAGACCTACCATTGCACGAAGTGTCAAAGCTTTAAGAGCTTTACTTTAATAATTAAACTAATTATCCATGGCAACTTTCTCCGCAAAAGTGACAATTTTCGTTTTCACGAAGTAACACTCAAGTTCCATTTACCATTGCAATGCATGGCGCACACTCTGCTCAAATGCGAGCAAAAACGTTTTCAGGAAGTACTCTCCTTGTATGAGCGCACGCACGCTGACCTGTAGTTGCACTTTTCTCGTGTTGTATACATTGAAAACAAAACTTACAGTTTCTCAGCTTTTCCGGTTTCACGAACTAACACTCACCATTTTTTCTCTTATTTCTTGTTGATTTAATAAAAACCACGGGTAAAAAATCCCAGCAGATTTAATAAATTCAATTCATCAAGTGTCCACAACGAGAAACCCAACTGAAAATACTCCGTCGTTTTGAGGCAAAGTGTTGTTTTAGAAGGCGTTCAACTTTAGATGCCGTTTTCTCCAATTGCTAGTTTTTACTGGTATGTGGGAGGGTGTTACTTCGTGGTGTTGCTGACGGTATCTGGTATCGCTTGAGTCATTTCCCAAACAACGAGTGTATTCTTTTTGTTCAATAGTGCATAAGGCATCCGTGTTGATTCTTGTCAGTGGTGGTGACCATGGACCACTATTCGTGTTGCGCGCCCTCTGTTGAAAAAAAATTCAAGTAGACCGTTAGGCAGGGTTGTCTCCGCGAGACCACTATTTCGTTTAGCCGTATTAGCGAGCCCGTTTTTTTTCGACGTTTTTCGACGTTAAACGAACTTCCAATTTAGTACAACAGCTATTTGGAATGTGCTATTGTTCCATGAAAGTTGAATTTCATTTTGATTGTATTTACGTTTCGCTTGATAAAAAAAAAGTTTGAAATCGTGAACGGGAGTCACAGATATCAGAACAGTTATGGTAATATATATATATATATAGAAATAAATATAGATACACAGTCATGTAACATTTGGAACCAGAAATTCTTATCAGAAAACCTAAAATTGAATTTCACTGCAAGCTATTGTAGCGGACAGTTTGTATGTCTATTTGTTGTTGCTTTTGTTTCTAGCCGCCGCCGGAGGGATCCGGTGGCGCATTGTTGGCGCATTGGGCCACAGGTGCGCTGACCTGGTTTTGGGTGGGTGTGGCTCGCGCGCGCTCAGGAAATAAGCTCTATAAATATAGGTTGCTTAAGTTTGGTTCTTTTGTTCACTTACGCGGGTAGGGCTTTGCTTGATTCCAGGTTGGGTTAGTTGTAACATTGTAATACATGTTCAAGTGTGCTTTTCTATGCTGGGAATCAGCAGTTGCAATTCTGATAGCGGTGCGGCGAGTTGCCCGCAGAGTCCGTTTGGCGAAATACATAAGAGCTTCCTTTGGAGTTAGAAATCCTGTTTGTGTCCCCTTTTTTTGGTTTTGCTCGACTTGGAGGACAAGAGCCCAATATGTTCCCGCTACACTATTTTAAAATGAATATGATGAAATATTTCAAATAATTTGAAGGGAGACTGCTACGTGCTATTGAATAAAAGGGCTTTCATCATTTAAGAAAACAATGATCAAAGTTTCAATTAATTTTGAGTCATTATTTATTGCGATTAAAGTTCCATGTCCATCTACAGACCAAAGTGTTCCCGCAATTGTGATATCATCTGTTCCCAATTGTATTTGAAACAAACTATGGAAATGCAGCTTTAATTATAATAAAGTGTCATAATTATTACATAATATCAATACATTCGTATCTTTCGGTTATACATAAATCTGTATGCTACAATAAATACTTTTTTTCTGCTTTATATAGAGAATTTTGATATTCATTATTCACAGTTATTGCACGTGAAAGATTAAAGGAATTACTCGTAAAATAGAGTATTCGTGGCTTAGAAAACAATTTTAAATGTTTAGTAATCATACACGTATATTTTTGGTGTGAGCACATAGAACAACTATTACTGATCTGTTGCTAGCCGATGTCGGTCATGACACCACTCACCCCCACTCCCCCCCAAAAAACCAGTCAATAAGATGAATTCAGTTGCTCTGTTTTTCAATGATATCAGTGAGAACAAAGAGGGGTACCTACAGTTACATATGTTTTTGTTTTGTGTTTATAGTGATTTCATTATGGTATGATATTACTTATGATAGATTCTGCACAAAGACATCATTTTCTCTGTGCTGAACAGAAACTAAGTCGTGTAGTTTTTAGCCAACTTGACATAGGATTGGGGACTTACCAAACTAATATATCAATTTTTAGATTAAATAACTACTTTGTTTGTAAGCTGTGGATTAACATGATCCAAAATCCGCCCTTTATCTACGCAGTCAATTACATTTCTTCCACGTTACCTACCAGAACTTTTCGCTGATTTTTTTTCTTCTAAAAGTTCTACCAAGGCTGGGAAATGAATACGAAAGATTATGTTCTTCATTATGTCAACGTATACACATACACGTAGTCAGCTGCTTTTCTCGTCTAATTAAGCCTAAGAAAATAGACGAAATGTTGTTACAACTAGCAGACTAAGTTAATTAAATGAAAACTTAAACCAAACTCTTAAATAAGCTGCTAACAAATCTGTAAAGATGTAACTTCTTAAGAAATAATTGATTTTGAGTTATGATAGTTGCTTTTGCCTTCAACACAAACATAATGTAACGGTTCTTTTACATTTTATTGTCTCCCAACCAAATCTCACTCTAAAGTTATATCAAATTCGAAATAAAACTGAATGGAGATAAACGCTGGTAACTAATTAACTTGTGGCTCATTAGAATTAACATGTGGCTGCAACTACATTGTCGCGATCTTCATAAAGGAGTTGAAGAGAAACACTAAGATACCTTTGGCTTTGTTTTTGCTGGTCCCAGAGGGCTAGTCTTGATTCCTATCTGAATGACTAATTGACTGACTGACTGACTGACACCTGTGACTTGGATTGGTTGTAGACCTGTAAAGCGAACTGGGAAGTGCTATCGTATAGGATGACCACGTTACGCGAACATAATGGACTAAATTGTGTAGACCAGACGCATGAAAAGCCATTTTGAATCTACAACAGGTAGAATACATCATTTGCAGCTATCCAAAAAGTAACTGACGAAACAATTGATGAAAAGCTTACTTGGCTTGAAGATGGTAATGGTACAAGAGGACCTTTCCAACGATGCGTCTCAAGTCGCATTTTTGGAAAGTCCATTTGTTTATTTCCATGTTCGTTTTTAATTCGGCGAGGCTATTAATCGTCAGTTCAGCGCGTGACATCGCAGAGCTGCAATCGGCTGCATGAGAACGTGTCCTGGACGCTGATTTCGGGCGCTATTCAAAACATGACTCGGCAACTTTTGAATTAAAATCGAGATCCCCTAGTATTGTTTCTGGGAATATACAACATTCACGGAGCTGAAACCTCATCAGGTTAGTTGTTAAGCACCCTTTTTATTTAGATTTGAGCATTTTTGTTGCTTCAAACGAAACTAATGCACACATGAATGATGTATTCTACCTTTAAATATAATTCTTCGCTCTCTGGGACAAGCTCTACTGGTTTTATTTACTTCACAATGTGGTTGTTGTTGAGCGACATACGTGTGCATAAAGCGTGCATATCATTCAGGCTCTTATACAGTTTGTCGCGGAAGACTTCGGAGGATGTAGTGGGGCATCTCTTCCACGACGCTATTGCGAAGAGAATGTAGTCTTCGTGGGGATTGTAGGCGGCGCCATAACCGTCTGGCACCACGGCGCCGTAACACATAAAAGTATCCAGTTTCGTCAGGACCTGTCCATTTTGAAGTGAAAAAGAAAAAAGTAAAGTGAGCGTTACAAACGAAACTAGCAGCTGTGTTGAGTGTTTGGCTCGGAAAGGGTTATATTCTCAAACGTATGGAGGATGGGGAGGATTTGGGATCATACCTGACTCGTACTCAAGTTGAAGTAGTTGCTCATCCGGTACGCCTCATCCGTGAAAATCTCGGGCATTGGCTCTCCGAGTTCTCGTGAGAGTTCGCGGAGTCCGAGAAGATGACAGTCAAAGCCTTGTCCTAATATATTCTGCATGGCAAACACGGCAGAAAACAAAGCAAAGATTAATTTCAAATATTCTATATGAGAATTAAAGTATCCATGTCATTGAACACAATTGTTGCAGAGGGTTGAAATCTAGAACATTAACCATACTAATTTTACGCAACATTTACATGTTGGGGCTTAAAACAACTGCCGTTTTGAAACTGTTGCGTCGCCGAGATTTGACGGAAATTGAACTCACTGTTATGCAGATATCTGTTTGCCGTTGTATCGCTGCACGAAGTAGATCCATCTTCTCCAATTCCTGAGAAACAAATAAACATGATCAACTTGTCATTCCAAAAAGAATCTAAGTTCACAGTAACATTTACAAAGGTCAAGCCGTTTAAAACAAGACTGTTACATACTTATAAGTTGTATATTAGGGTTCAGACTACTTACTGTGCTACTACTGAAAGACAACGTCACTATATGTAAAAGGAACACAGCCGAGTGCGTCATATTTAATTCCATAGTAATATGCTAGATCGTTTCTAAACTCAGATTTATGCGCGCATGCGCGAAGGCATTCCTCCTATACAAAAAAACATACATAATAGATTGGTAATGTGTTGGATTACAAACGGTTTGGACACCAGTGTTGTAGTCGAGACCGGATAGTCCGAGACCGAGACCAAGACCGAGACCTGAAGATTCGAGACCGAGACCGAGACCGAGACCAGCCCCTTCAAGGCGGACCGAGACCGAGACCAATGTGGTCCGAGACCGAGACCGAGACCGAGACCGCTGATAATAAATAACAATAGTCGAAATAAAAAAAAACAAGACACGTTATTATAGTTGAAAAATGTAACCCTTCTATTCACAAAGAATACAGACCAAAATGTTGACCAGTGGCAGTGTTGACAAATTGGTACATGACACCTTACTTGAGCAAAAAGTATTTACACTTAAGAAATATGGGCTTTGACATGTTGTCTGCACCCAATCGTGACAAAAGTAAAAAGTTAAAGGTAGATGTTTCATCAGTTATAGGAACTTGGATCCTAAACTCCACAGTCACCCCTTGGTTTCAGCTATGACTTCTAACGGATATTTAAAGATGCAATTTTAATTTTACATTGTGCCTCTTTTTTCCTAAAATAAATATAGGACTAACATGTAACTTCTAACCAGACTTGTGTACTTGATTTTAAAAAATGGGAGCTAGAAAATGTTAATTAATTTTTAAATTTCTGTGATAGAATGTGGACTTGTACATGTAGACCCACAAGTTGCGAGGTGGTAGCCAGAATGTGCCAGATATGGATTTTTATTTTTTTTTCTGAACGGGATTTTAATTTTTGAGGAATAATGGGGTACTTCAAAATGAGCAGCCAGAAAATGGGGTCCCATCATACACTCTCATGGCAACAGTGAGTGGTAACTGGTAAGAGTGTGTGAGTTCAATGCTGGAAAATCAGGTAGAAAAAAATACTTTTTCTTCAAAATACTGTTCCAAATTAAAGAGAACATTGTGTGGGGTCGAAAATATAACTAATTTGAAGCACCTCATTTATTATTAGAATACAAAATGCAAGTGATTACGCCCACAGGGGTGGGCTAAACTACACAATCCCCGAAAATGGTTGACCCTTATTGCATAAATTGTTACAAGTTCATACTTTGCTTTATGTGTCCGACTCAACAGATAAATGCCGAACTTGCTCCAAATCGTTCAGTGACTGGTATACTGCTGCAGCTTTACATGTACTTTGGGGACTTTCCAACGTGCAGTCGAGTCCGGCAAACCGACCACGATATATATAACAAGCTTGATCGATCTACGGGCTAGCAAATGTTTTAACTAACAACGGTACTGAACGAAGTGAACACAAAGTAATCGATCGAGCTGTAAAAGCTACATATTGCCGGTCTCGACCCGAGACCAGCCAAAATATCGAGACCAAAGGGGACCGAGACCGAGACCAAGACCGAGACCACAGCTTCCGAGACCGAGACCGAGACCGAGACCAGCAAAAAGTGGTCTCGAGACCGGTCTCGAGACCGAGACCGGTCTCGAGACCTACAACACTGTTGGACACATTTTCAAGATTCGAGTTGGTTTGCTGTTCGAAGAGTAAAAACATGCAGAATCTACATTAGTTACTACATTTTACGCCCAAAACGGGCGAATTTACTAGCGAATCGTAAATGGCCTGCGATCAGATTTATTAAAGTTTCACTCACGGTAGCTTGACGATCTCCGATCATGGAGCGTGAGAACTCCAAAGCTTCGACAGTCGCGGCTCGGATATTGTCGACTCTGCCCTCCAGAAACCGCCGCGTGGAGGCGCTCTCGTATGTAGATGTTAGGTGACCGTAGATCCTGATAATACAAGAAACATGTACATCAGGCCATACAAAGAAATCAATGCGTGTATGGTTTCTTGTGGATTCTCTATTAGACACGTACGTCCTCATAGAGAACCGCTTAGTATTCAAATTCCTATGTCGTGCATTACATTGCTGAGAATGTCATATCATGCATGTCATTGCTAAGCATGTCATGCTCACTAAGGAAAACTTTGTTTCGGTTTTAAATTGTGTAAGGTGTTAGGTTCGTCTGTCACATAGAACTTGAAGCTTGAATTTTCCTCTACTGTGATACTGTCATAACTAGTATTAAAAAACAGGTTTCTAACAAAAATTTTAACCCTTGCGGGCCCCACATTCTGACCGTTAATAATGTTAAAGTTGAACAAAGAAATTGACTGGAGTGGGGTTTTAACCTACGACCAACGGACTACCATACTAGTTATCTACCAAATGAGCTATTCGGCCCAGTTTGTAGTTTTCCTTTATGCATTGCATGTATGAATCCTTCTCAAACGAACTTTTCTTTTACAAAATTTGACAGGAATCTGTGAATACGAAAAGTGTTAGTAGGCCAACAAGATGATTAAAACTTATTACCTAAAGTACGTGAACTGTAGAGCTATCTGGATGAACGCATCTGGGCTCATGTTTTGCGACTTGGGAAATCCCTTCCCAAACTTGGTATAACGGAGAAGTTTCAAATCAAAGTCATCGACAAGCCTGCAGAAGAAAGGAAGTAAAATAGCTGATACATTAAATACTCAAGGATCATAAATTCAGGAATCATCACATGTATACCTTAAAATTCGACCTAAAATATTAGTCTACAATAGTTATTTTATCGATCAATAACAAAGGTTCTACAGCATGTCCCTAAAAAAAGGTCCGTCTGACTATTTTTGAAATAACTACAAAAACATGAAATCAATTTTTAATTGTGCAGACACTCTATATCCTGGGCCTAGACCCCATCACTACACAATTGTCAATTGATCACAAAAACATTTTTGGACATGTGACCAAGTTCCTTGCCTTAATTAATTTCAGTGCTGTGCGTAAGCTGTTTACAATCCTGCATGTTGTGAAAAAGGCTGATGTGGTTTCGGATTGGAATAATTTGCCCTGCATTAAACTGAGGTCTCGTCATGATGACTGATAGCCAGGCAAATGATTCCAATCCCAACCGCAGCCCTTTTTATTTTACAACATGACGGATTTTACACAGCTTACATAAACACAGCACTGAAATGCCCCCCCCCCCCAAAAAAAAAAACACCCAACAACAACATAAATTTAATCCGTGGTGGGAAACAAATGAACACCCTCTTTATTTAGAAAGAGGTCTTTGTATTGATTCTTACTCTTAGGTAGGTTCTGTTGGTTATTTTAACAATGCAATGATGTGTAATAATAAACATAAGGCACTATTATTTAGTTTTGCAACGTTGTCCTTCCATGGGTGGGTCAAGAAAGGTCAATAAGTATTGGAGATCATGCCCAATAGCTGGTTGAAATGGGGAAGAGAGAGATGAGATTGACGTTTCTGGTATACTTACCTGTCCATTCCTCCTCTAGCCGTCTCTATATCTTGTATAGTTTCATGAGACAGCTTCCATCTTAACACACGTGGGCAGGGCAGCTCACATATCGACTGGGCTCGCGTTAACTTCCGCTTGTGGGTCTCCGAATCGCTGCAATGTAAAAAGGCAAATACCAGTCCAGTAAACTCCAGCGTATATTAGCAGAGGACGTCCACTTATAACAGAGATTTTCATTCGGTAAGGGCACATTCTGAAATCATCCTGATGGTGTTAGCTGATGGGTTTGTGCTGTTCTTCGAGAAAATAAATCAAAAGATGTGTTTGCAGAGACCGTTTGAGTTTTTTTGTGAGACTTTTTGTTAAGGGTGCAGACCTGTAAATGGGTCCAGAATGCCTACGCGGGCCAATTCACAATTTGTGCATTCTCAAATTCTTTGCTATGGAGCATTTTGTAGGCCATGAGCTTGGAGGTTTGTAAAAAAAAAGGATGAGTGGGAGCCGTGCACAGGAGTGTGAGCTCTTAATTCTGTAAAAATTCTCATGAATTTGCGCCTTAAAATTGTTTAATTTTGCATTGCAGCGCAGGGCTGGCATCATTTTTCAAAATGGCGATGGGCCATATTATGAGGGAAGAAGGAAAATGATTACATCCTAGAATCAGGGGTTGGAGAGAAATCACACACTGTCTACAAAACAAATCATGATTCACTGTGGTGTGCGTGAGAAAACTGAAGTAGGCCTATGTCATATGTACTTCCGTACACTTCACAACTCATCATCAGTGTACCTCCGTGTATTGTAATAGCACCCTCAGTCATAAATATATATAACCCGTGCAGTACCCGTGCAGTTAACGCTAATAACATCCTCTCTTACATGTATCTTAGGAGATGCTCCACGAGCTGGACAACTGCGACGCCCTCTGACGGTGAATGCTCATAATTCAGACCACACGTTCCATCATCTCCAATTATAAACTAAACGGAAATTATAAGGTAAATGGTGATAAATTTGGTAAACATTTTAATTTCCTTTTGAACTTATGCCTCTTTCGATTAAACACGTTTTCTTCCAATTGTTTGCACTCTTGGAATTTTAATTCACAGGCGCTATGCCCACAAACCTTTCCAAATTTGACTTTTAGTCAACTACAGCCTCATGAGACAGTAAACAATCCAATTACGGTAATTCCTAATTGGTCAATTTTGGTTTAAATAATATTCATGTTTGTTAATGTAAAGGAAAACATCTTCCCGGAAAAGGGCAAAATTGGAACTCTGGAGTGTTGTGCGATAATGACCCAAAGCCTCTGGCTAGAACAAATAAAGTCGTATTTCACTGTCAATTTCACTGTCCCAGACCTTCATCGAACGCACCACTAAGCTAATTAAAATATCACCGGGACAACCAGGCGGAAAATTGAATAAATCACTGCTGACTTGCAGGGACTGCAAACTGCGCCGAGTGCAGCTTTTCAGGGCACACAAGGAAAAAAAGTGAATTCTTGCAACTTTGACGTCGGAAGTGTGAAGCGTGCAACGTGAGGTGGGTCTTAAAACTGGCCGAGGGAAGACATAACTAAATTAGTATCTAACTGCATCGAAATACCTAAGGCTTTTGGTGTGGTTATTGAATTCTTCAGTGGCAGTTCTTTTCCAGGTGTTTTTTTCGTATGCAAGGCCGAAAAACTGTATTGTTCATTATTTTCTGCACAAATGTATATACCATTATAATAATGAACGTCACCTTAAAGATATAAGAAAACGTAAATGGTAATACATTACCTAAAATGAATGAAATTATAGTTGTTCAATCAAAACAATTACAAACGAAGTTTTCTCTATATTTTGCTTAGACCTATGAATATTTGAATAAACTGTTATTTAAATCAAGCAATGGCGCGTCATACTCAAAATTGATCCCCTCATAATTGATACGGGCCTATCAGTTATTGTCTCAAGTACGCGGTTATAGCCGGCGCGTGCAGCACGTGCTGCGCGCGCGACGCGCTCAGGACCAATAGGAAATGTTCAATGTATTTATGAGCACCAAATGATCAGCTGAAATCAGTCTTAATAATTAAAGCGTGATTTTGGAATGTTGCCCACCTGCATAGTTTTATCGAACCACCTGTTACCGCTGTTGAGTGACGTGCCCCCTCCATGCAGCATCTGATGAGCCAATGGCTCGTCGTCTGCATCCATGGGCTTCCCCACTTCAGCAGGGGGGTGGCCCATGTTGGCGTCCAGACACAGGACGAATATGCAACGCTCGATCATGTCCAGAGAATCGCGGTTCGTGGAAGCTGCGTGTGAGAAATGGAAATAAAGAAATGCTCTTTATTTTTAAGACAGGGGTGTAAATGAGTGTGTCCCCCCTCCTAGCTCGAAGTCCGTGCCCCCCCCCTCCCCAGCCTACCCTTGAGCCCCCCCCCAAAAAAAATCCTGTAATCCCTGGTATCATAATAAAATTCGATTTTCCTTAAACAAAGCAGGAATCTATAACGAGTTTCTTAACCAAGGTCCCATCAAGTTTCCGCAGCCGATTTCGGACGAGACCTTAACCCCAGCGTTCATATAATGATTACTGATTGTGTGCAACAGCGCCACCAAAAAAGATTTAGTTTTAATATGGTTATGTTACTTTATAATTATGTTTCACTTTTACTATATTGAATAAACTAATACCCGAGTTGGTGGTATGATAAAGGTCCTTGCTATTTTCAAAGTGATGAAATCACATCACTAAAACTGTCCAAATGATTATAATGCGGTTTATGTTAAAAAGAATGCATTTTAAAGAACAAATCGCATGGAAAGACGTATCTTTTTTTTCGCAAACCTACAATCTGGATATATAAATAAAACGTTATCCTTTTTTTGTGCAATTTTAACAGGGCACGATTTCATGGTTCTGCGTACTGTTAGCGAAAAATTCTTGATTACTGTAGTAAAAAAAATCGTGCTTACGGTGTGTGTATTTCACTGGTTAGAGAGGAATTTTTGCTTCTGCGCATGTGTACATCCCGTAAGGATTCTGTGCTTACAGGTTTAGCTGCTAGCGTGGTTAGCACAAAATTGTGATCGTAAGCACGGAATTCTGTGGCTAGCAGAGTCGTGAAATTGGGCCCAAATATCAACATTTTTTTGTTTGAATGTGGTTAAATTTGGTGTTGCCGTTCTATCCGAAAACAAATTGTTTTTACCGATAGGAACCAGACTCAAAATAAAGGTTTGTAAGTGTCCTACCTATGTTGTGAACAAAGCTTAAAAACAGTGAAAAAAGGGCAATTGTGCAAAACACGTTTTTGTATATATCTGTATTGATGAAATAAGTCGGATGAAACTTAGAAGCTTCATTTCAAACACGATGTGCACATAAAACGTCGGATTTACTGAAGGCGGCAGATTTACAATGCAAACACAGACCGATGCATAAACAAGACTGCTCGGTCACTCCCGATTCGGTTAAACAATCTGCATCTATATCCCTCCACCTGATGGAATTGCCAATACGTCATCACTCCTATAACATGATTTATATCGAGCGTGTTCTTCCGATATCTCTCCTAGCAAAGCTTCTGCCCAACGTGGATTGTGAAGTAAAAAAAAACAGAGGCAAATCTGTTACCGCCCTAAGCACTCGCTGTATGACTTGATTAATATTTGCAACTTCCGGATGCTGCCTCTGACCGTATAATATATAGCTTGCTTACGGCACATTCAATCAGCGAGTAGCCCTGTCAAGGTAGAGTGGTAGCGATAGGAGCATCGAGGATAAATATATTGCTATTTGTCTTTGGTACTTAAGACCGGGCGACCTCGTGTCCTAGATTCGTCTTTGTCAAATGCAGCAGTTTAGACAAACCCTGCGGTTCATTTGAAGTTGAGGGCAGAGCGACTAGACAAAGAATCACATTTTACTAAATTACACTGATAACCATATACAAAAGAAAAAAATCCACACTGCAAAACGTAGACACACCAGATTTCAAGCATTCCGATGTATGTATTTAACACAAATTGTGCGCTGATCTTAGCTTGAAAACTCAATTAACCGGAATCAATCAAACGGTGCAAATACACACGAAAACAGGTTTTTCATTCTCAACGTTCCTTCGTTATATCCAATCAGTAAAATGTTGAATTTTCTAATGACCCAAGTAAAGATATCTGTTCACGTGGGTGTGTCGAATAGACACGTCTCGTCTCCAAGTGCGTTAACCGCGCATCATAGCAAATTAGCGGCGCCTAATTGATTGTGCACTAGACCGGACAATGGCATCAAGCAATGGTAATGATTCGTTGTGATATTTTCTTTTACGAAAGCAACGAGAGATTGAATTATCCTCGAGAGAAGCTTAGGCCTTAATGTACCCTTTTCAACAAAACACTCAACTTTTTCTTTAAGGTAAATCACACGGTAATGACTGACTGAGATCTACCATGTAAACTCTTGGGCTGGTTATCCCCTGTTTAAGAAAATCTTGTTAAAGACGAACCTATACTCATTAGAAAAAGGTCAATGCACTCTTTTGTTCAACGGTAATTATTTTATTTTGTTTGGAGCAACTGAACACTCAGAAACGGAAACATCCTGGATTCTTGCTTTAAAGATAACTTTGCTTTTCGGGGCGGATCTAGCTTTCAGGAAAGGGGTTGGATTGATATGAAGGGGGTTGAGTGAGGACGATGCTTCTCCTGTTTTAACACTATGGGGGGGGGATTGCAAACCCCTGCCCCCTAGATCTGTCATTTGTTTTGAACCAAAGGCATCCTTTGATATGTCGAAAGTCCCACAACCCCACTTTAAAGAGCAAGAGAAACATCTCACACTTCTTTATATTTCTATCTGTTTTGTTTTTGTTTTTTGTCGTTTTGTTTAATAATGTCAAGTATGATGTAGTGTGCTTCTTTAAACAAACAATGTTTTGCCCAAGCCAGTCGGAGTGGGAGTAACTCGACAGAAACACTGTTTCTTTACGACATTCCGTCAGAATCCGGCTGGCTCTTTGTTTCTTTGCTTTGCCCATTCCTTCTACCGCGTAATAAATATCAAAATAAATATCACAATAAATATAAACAGCTATGGTCTACTCACCCTTGATGAGTTTCTTCCTTGCCGTAGCCCACTCTACCCGCCCCATTGTCGTCAGCAAACCCACGGTATGGGGTGCAGGGTCCTCCCGCGCCAAGTCCACGATTCGTTTCAGCTGGCTCAGAAGGTCCTGTTCACTTAATCGCTTGAAATTAACGATGACGTCCAGTACAAAAAACTGCAAGTTGGAAAACAAAAGGCAAGGAAATTGGCACTGATTGCATTTTTGGTCTCGTCGAAAACACACAACACGCATAGTTTATACAAGAGGAGGGGGGGGGGGAGTTTCATGCTTGAGATTTTGGAATGCGAAACTTCACTCGGTGACCGCTCTATGTTCCGACACCCCTATGTTCCAACAAACCGCACATAAGATTGTGTTAGCCTATTTAGGGTAAGGGTTAGGGTTAGGAGCATGATCAGTCGGAACATAGGGGGGTCGGAACATAGGTGCGTAACCCTTCACTCAACCGTTACATCAGAGAAAATCTTAAACTTCTCAAGTGAAATGACTGACTGTTATGAAATGACCGTCAAATTTAGGTCAATTTCTATACAGAATTGAAACGCTTTTTTTCTATAGCTTTTTTCTTTGCTAGTACCCATCGCGGCTGTCTTCAATGAATTCTCTAATGTTCGTGAATTGTAATTGGATAATTGTTTTAACTGGTGTCAAAGGGTCTAATCTCCCGCGTGCACACAACCTGCTATGAATAGGTTTCACTGGGTACCAACTCCTTTGATCCCTCTTCTCTAAATTTCCATTGTGGGGTGCGGTCAGACAAAGTCAAAAAGACCGACTTGTGGGGAGCCATTATTCCCTCTGTGCCAGTAACTCGTGAGGACCTTCTAGGTAAAGATCTGTAAATAGGCTCAAAAATGCCTATGCCTGCCTATGCCTATGCCGTAAACTGGAATATTTGTAAAAAAAGAAGGGTGGAAGCCGTGCAGAGGACTGCGATCTCGTATTTCTGTGAACATTTTGATGAAATTATGCCCTAAGATGGTTCTATTTTGCAGTGGAGCGTATTCGTCCATTTTCAAAATGGCGAGTGGCTTCAGGACTGTTTTGGGGGTAATCATCTTTGGATGAAATTTTCTCCAAAAAGTCATTGCTTAACCACAGTAAAATTGCACAAAGAATGAAATATGATGAAATAAGCTTTAATATGATGTGTGTCTCAAACACTTTGGAGAATTGTGAGTATTTTTAATAATTTCGGGAAGTGTGCGTAATTATCACTGAGGTCTATTGCAGTCTTTTTACTGGTCTGCAACCTTCTCGTTAAAACGCAGTTACCCAAAACGCTTTGCGATTCCTCCAAAGGTTTGTGAAAGCGATTATTTGTAGACCGGTGTCATTGGTGGAGCGCAGCCGCTGGTTATGAGAAAACACCAACAATAAGCTGAATGTGCTTTCTATAATGATGGAGTAATATGCACATTTGTGCATGACTCTCCCATGAGCTTTTGCAAAGGGGATCCCACGAAATAAATCTTGGAGACATTTTCATCCACTAGTGTTCGTATGTATTATATAGAGCATATCGAGTTGTACATTTTGATATTACAGTTTGACGCATAATGACGCACTGACGCATGATGTTAATTTCTACCTTGTTTGCGATTTTGTATAATTAGGCCTTATCGCATAACCAGCACAGGTGACTTCAAAATGTTTTGTAGGGCTCGGTTCGGCGTATTCAGTATTTTTTCCTAAATTGAATAAGGGTTTGAAAGCGCATGTATTAAACTTTCCGTTCTTTAAGCGGACAATTTTTTTACTCCCAGACTAGACTCTGCCTCGTACCTGATTATTGCATACAACTATGATGTGTTCTGGTTCGGGCATGACACTGCTGGAGGGCGAGACTAGGCTGTCTTTGACCACGCCTGGCACTCGATAGGACGAGAATAATCGGTAGTATTGCTCCATGCATAGTGGTTGGCCAGGCTTGTGATGCCGCACCCTGTCGACTGGTAAAGCTCGTCTGGTTAAAACAAAACCACACAACAATAAATGATGCAAGTTTTATGAGTGAAAAGATGTGGCACAAGACAACAAAATAACGCCAACATGAGGGGGCTATTTAAAGGCATAGGAAACATTCTCTTAAAGGGAAGATACAACATTTTCCAACATAAAAAACGAAATGATCAAATAATCAAAATACCTAACTGGATTGTAAGGGAATGACAGTCTAAAGCATCCTGTAAAATCGTGGCTCCTGCTGTGCTGACATTTTCAAGAAAAATTGTATTTTTGCAACGCTGGTCGGCCGACCAGCGTTGGAGAAAACTATTTTTTTTCAAAAACTGCTCCTTATTTTTCATATTAAGTTATTTCGCATTTTCTTTGCAATTGATAACACACCTGTGAAGGGGTGCAAGCCTGCTAGACTGATTCTCTGACCTTACAATTCCCCAAAGTCTATCAATTGCTCTGTTTCATCTGAAGTGGGGTCAGGGAATCAGACTACAAGAACATGATTGGTTTTCTTGGTTTTTCCAGCATCTACAAGCTCAAAACGAGAAACAAGTCAGTTTAACAATATTTACTCTAACATCCTAATCCTCCAAATTCATGTATCACTGAAAATTGCAGGAAAAGCAAGTAGTGTACATTCCTTTAATATACAAAACAGGTCCCATCATAATGCTCTGCAGTGTGTATTGCTTGCCATATGTTAACGGCCAATTTTCGCTTAGCACACAAACAGAACAATCAATTTTTTTTCTGCCTGGCAGTGTCATTAAGGGTCCATGCAGCCTGGTGTAGGTTATAGGAACTACAGGGTTAGTTAAAAAAAAAAAGGAACCCAAATGTCGGGACTTTTTGTTTTAGTGAAGTTGTTCATGTAGCACTTCTAAAATCTAGGATATGAAAGCCAAATCCATATGCCTCTTTTTAGTTCATGAATCATTCAAATCACTTATGTACTTTTTAAGATACGGAATTTTAAACACAACCACCGTTTTAAAGTTCTGTTCACGGATAAAAAAAGATGTGCGTTCTTTCAGCAAAACGAAAACAATTCACACACATCCCTAGATGTTTTGTTTTTCGTTTTGCTGAAAGATCACTGTTTTTTGGTGATTCGTGGACATAACCCTAAAACGGTGGTTGTGTTTAAAGCTCCGTATATTGAAAAGTACATGTGTGATTTGAATGATTCTTGTATTACAACAAAGTTTATGAATCGGGCTTTCAGATCCTAGATTGTGAAAGTGCTACATGCAGAATTTCAATAAAACAATAGTCCCGACATTCGGGTTTCGTTTTTTTTTTACTCACCCTTTAAATCACTGCCTGTCAATCGACCAGTATGCGATACATTATTATCTCCGCCAAGGAGGTTATATTTTTTCACTGGATTTTGTTATATTGTTGGTTGGTTGGTTTGTCTGTTAACAAGATAACTCAAAAAGGTATGGACGGATTTGCATGGAAATTGTTTCATGGGTGGTCCTTGGTACAAATACAAATCGATTAAATTTTGGAAGTGGTCCGGATGTGGGTCTGGATCCAGGATTTTTTTTTAGGATTCTTCACCATTTATGCGAGTATTTCTGTTGGGTGCACTGACAATATGGCGGGCAATTGTTTAGCCCTGGCGGCGGTTTGCGCTCTCTGAGTTTAGTGCTTTCTAGTTTACACCATAATTTACCGCCAACAAATTCCAAAGGTTTGAAATTAAGATGAGCGATAACGTTAAAATAAAAAGGGCTAGGTGATATACACTGATCGATGATAAGAATACGTAGGGCTAGGTTATAGTTCGAGTTATTGTAGCATTAAGGAATTGGGAATTGGGCATGTGGTGACAAAAATGTAGACTATTAACCCTAAAAGGGCCAGGTTATTTTGACCATCTCTCAGCCGGGGGGGGGGGGATTCCCCATAAGATCTCGGCCATTGAGTTACGGAAACTTTTGAAACTCGGTACATGCATAGAGCAACTCTTCATAAACATACCTAAGAAATTTCATTACTATAGGTTAAAGGGTTTTGGAATTATGGCTAATTAATTATTCATATGTACGAATGGCAATTCTGCTCTGTGTACACGACGTATACGGGAAAATTAAGTTTTCACGGCGCAAAGCGCCGGAAATTGTTTCCTTCCCCGCCCTTTTTAGGGTTAAACTAGCACACAGAGAAACATTCTTATATCAAGAAGCGCATCTGTGTGCGTTAATTATAACTTCGCCAATTTCGATGGAATAGTACCCCTACTCTGCCAAAAAAAAAAAATCGCGGTCTAATTATATTGTAGAAATTGGACAAGCTAATGAATTCTTACATCACCATGAATAAATACAAAAAACAAAAACAAAATTGCATTGCCACTTTTGGCATAATCCTATTACGATGGCTTGGTCAACAAATACCGTCTGTCGAGTCCATGGATATCGAGTGCACAACACTTCAGACAGTTTCCCGCATACCATAGCCCTCAGCTCGCAGCCAACTAGAAAGTCAGCCAGTAATCCCATAAAATTAATTGGTTGCTTGGGCTCGGAGGGGAGCAATCGATAGATTCAATTACGGTAAATGGTTAAAAATGTTACGAGGCCCATTTTCGGTATTGGTTGGAACATTGTGGTTTTAAGGCTTTTACTTATGCGAGCAGAGAAAATATGGATGCATTATCAACTTCTGAGAAATGGCCGGGAAAACACTTGGAATGTCATACGTGTTTACTTACGCATCAATTATGACCTTGTAGTCGAGTATGCCCGATATGAGCTTGGCTGCAAATCTATGAAAACGGAGAAATCATTCGAGAAATATTGCTTAGATTGTCTCGTTTCTTACAATTTAATTGAAAACTAGATGAGTTGTGCAAGCTTCAGCATCATTGATCTATACTGGAAACAGTCAATAATACAGGGTAAGTAAAAAAAAAGCGGAACCCAAACCCCAAATATTACATTTCATATTTAAAAAAAAATATATAGCACCAAAAATAATAATGACTGGAGAGCCAATATCGTAAGCTACTTTTAGTTGAACAAAATTACTGAAATTGCTCAATCCGTTTAAAAAATATCACCATTTAAACGCAATGACCCTAAAACCTGTTTCGTCTAAAATAGCAATTTATTGTGTATTCTTACTGTTTGGAACAACAAAGAAAATTACACAGAATACTTGTTCCAACAACTGTCACCAACTGTAGTGCACAATTATGTTTATTAACAACCCTGGTTAGGCAAACTACATGATTTATAAAATCCACTTTTTTGAAGACGGGCCTTCAAACGGACTTTGTTGAATATTTTTAACTTTTAAACTGAGGTTTTGTCGCTGGTGATATATGAAGACAATTGTGACGACGATTCTTGAAATCGTATTTTTGGACGAAAGAGGTTTAAGGGTTTTTGTGTTTGAATGGTGATATTCTTTGAACGGATTGAGGAATTTCAGTATTTTTTCATCTAAAGGTAGCTTATTAAATTGGCTTTCCAGTCATTATTATTTTTGGTGCTACATATTTTGTTGAATATTAAATATAATTTTTGGGGTTTGGGTTCCGCTTTTTTTGACTCAACCTGTATTTATAAGGAGAAAAAGTGTTTTCTCCATATACAATTTTAAAAATGGGTAGTTCATTTAAATATACTACTTGGAGAGCCTAGAGTCCAGTGCTATAATGTAAAACAACCCCAAAAAACATAATCTTTCTGGAAAAATACTTTGTTAGACAAACACTTTTCTTGTACTTAAAAAAGGGGATGGAAAGTACTTTCCAACTAAATTTAAGGATGATAATATATCAGTTACGTTTCAAAAGACTCTTGATTTGACTTCCGATGTGTAAATTCATTAATTATGGTACAGCTGTATATGCAATTCAAAGACCACTCTATAACTGTGCTTTCTTTCGGCTCGAGTGTTTACTTTCTAGAAACAATATTTGGAAATATGGTATACGAGTCACCGTGCAGAGAATCCTAAAAATCTGAAGTGTGGCCATACTTGCACCTGCCACAAACGCGGTATATGCCATCAACGCAGAGTTGCTAATGACGTCAAGAGGTACCTAATTACGCAAATGGCCGTCGGTCCATGGGAACGAGGCAACCCACCTTAGCCGCTGGCCCTCGTCTTTGAAGTGCTGCTTGGGAAACACCATCCCTGGGTTCGAGTTGAGTGGAAGTGACACATGATTGTGTAAGTACATGTCATCCAGCCACCATCTGTTTGACTGGAGCACAACAACACAGGCGATATTAATAAATGATACTCGAGTTGCCCGAAGATAAATTGCTTGTGCATATCGCCAGCCCTTCTTTTTAATAAGACCTGGAGTTGATAAAACCTTACAGAGTGAGTGGCTGCCTAAAGTTATACCTTGGCAGGACTGTAAACAAAGTAGTCCTGAACCTGGAGGTTTAAGATCATACCGAATGAAGTGCTTTTGAAATACAAGGAAACCGCAAGATAAGAACTTGTCTTAAGAACTTGCATCTCCAAATTAAAGGTATTTGCCGTTCAGAAATGAAGTTGCACACATTTATGAGGAACACGAACAACAACTAACACAATTTTGCCAAGAATTACATATTAACACCCTCATTATGTGAGAATGAGGCATTTCTTTTAAGTCTTTGGTACTGTTCGTTGGTAATTTTGTATTTTCAACAATCTTTGCGATATATTTGGAAACACGAATAACGATTCTTTATTAGGCCTAATTAATGTTTGGCAAAAAACATGGGCCACGGTTTAATCGCTGGTTACAGTAGCTGCGTCCGTCATAAAGCACAACGTCGAGCCAGGACTTTTGACCATCGTTTGACTAGATTCGTTCGAACGTTGATATTAGTGCGCAGGCGTAAGTTACATTCCAAATCAAGCACTATCGACAACTGGTTCTCGCCTGAACTTACACTTACCTGGTGACCCGGATCAATACTCCCTTCTGCGTATAACATGACCGAGTTCGGAATGCATAAACGAAGTTTATAGCAAGTGACCTACCAACAATGCTTTGCGAATCTGCCTTTCCTTCGCAAGATTTTTTGAAACGGATCAGCGATTTTTGCGGCCCTGGATAGGTGGGGGGTGGGGAGGGGGGTGGGGGACGGCCATTCATATTTACCCAATTAGCCTGGGACTCTGCATACTCCAATAGTTTCATTTGCAGGTACTCCCCCGGCCCTCCTGGTCTACCAAACTCCCGGACCAAACTTTCAGTAATGGCATACTGTTCCCTGGAAACCGTTGCCCTTAGTGACTGCAGGTATGCCGCCAAGGTGTTGTGCAGTGGAGGCACCGGAAGACGAGGAAGCGGTTTCTGTGATAAAAAAAAATAAACAAAAAATATAAATCACAAATAAAAAAATTATAATAAAACAACAGAAATAAAAAAATAACCACCACCAATTTGAGACACGCTTGTGTTGTTCCACTTTTCAAGTCACTGTGTAATTCTTTACTTGTCAACTGTGATTGGAAATAAAAGAGGAAAACTAGAGCAGGCGACATAATTCGTGTTTGAACATTCATTTCTTGTGGATTGCAACTTTGTTCAAATTCTTGGGAAAAAAGGAGAGAAATTTGAATAAAAATCAATGCCAACATTTTAAACTTCGCGCGAAAGACCACGATTGTTTGAAAGGTATATAGCATCATTTGCGTTTCATGCATTTTATTCTTGTCCTCCCTCCCCCCCAAAAAAAAAAAACCACTCAAAATCCAAAGAAGAATGTTACAAACCTAACCTGTTGAAGTTGCAACTTATTGAATATTTCACTTTTCGAGAAACAATGAAGATTTTGTCTTTATTTCCAAACATCAGTCAACTGACCAATCGTTGGAAACCACATACATTTCATGATTTCTTCCAAATGACAGCAGTTCAGACGAAATAATCTAACAGGGTGTTTTGTACCAGCGCGTTCTTTATTTCAAATTAGTTTTTGTTTCCATAATAAATTAGAAAGTTAATCTTAAGATACATATTCCTTTAAAATGGACATGTTTCAATACATTCGACACAAACGCACATTCATTAATGAATACAAAAACGATTTGCACCAAAACAAAAAGAAAGTTGTTAAAAGAGTTAAAAACATGGGTGGTAGGATATTGAACACAATTTTAGTTTACCTTAAATCATTTAATATCTTGTTTTTTCAGAAACGTATATATTAGTAATGCATAAACACATTAATTAAATGGTGAGTATCGTAAGGGACCTGTTATTGTACATTCATAAATACCTAAGACAGTGCGTTTACCCATTCCTATTGGTCGAGAGCCCGTTACGTGGCCGGTCTTAAACATCGGGTCATTATCAGTGTCCAGACTCCGAACCGGTCTCAAACATCTTGTTTAAAACCAGCCAAACACATATTTATTCCCTTATTAATCTTATTCATGAAATAAAACTGAATAATTAACATATTACTTCAAATTTCTTAAACGATTTTGCTAACTGACCACATGAAGTATTTCAATAGCACTTGGCGGATATTCTGATTGATTTTCACACGACTGCGGCGATCATGTTATTTCCTTCTTGAACAGGTCATTCCAATACCAATTCACATCTAACAATTCTACCTTTTGAAACATGAAACACCCCTTAAGAAGCTTGCATTGACACATGCTGTCGGAACCAAACCCCGCGATCGTTCACCGGTCTGTAATCGCCATGGTAAGATTGCAGGACTCTTCCACCCCGTTATGTACAACTCACTGACAACTTCACGTCTTAAATAGCGTCCTTGATTTTTTTCCCTGTTGGTTTGAAATACCCCGACGGAGGGCTAGCATCCAATATTAAAAGGTAGATTGGACCACTTCCATCTATCAAAAAAGAAACCCACCAAATTATTGTTGAAATGCTTACTTGATTTATAAAGATTGTAATGCAATTAACCTCCCTTAACCTCCCTGTGAAATGATTCTTTCTGGCCTTCAATTTGAAGAAAACAATAGAAAACGGTCATTCCCAATGATGCGTCAAAAGACACATTTTTGGAAATTTCCGTTGGCAGTTGGTTTGTAATTGAGCGAATCCGTGAATGGGTGCAAGCACGTTGACACGACGCACACGCGTGCCCGGTTGCCATTATTAGGGAAGTTTAGCTGCACGTCTTACTACGCGAACGGCGACTCGAACGCGTAGGCCATTTATCATGTTTTTTTCTCTCGCGCAACGTATTGCTAAACCTCTCGAATCATGTCCCGAATTCTGATTTTGGGATTCTGTCATGACTCGGCAACTTTTGAATTGAAATCGAGATCCAGAAAATATTGGGGTTTTTTCTCTCGAATCGTACCGCATTCACAGAGCTAATCCTTCATTAAGTAGTTGTTAAACACCCGTCTTTAAATTTGAGCACTTTTATTGCTTCAAATGACAAAAAAAGAAATTCGCACCAAATGTCTATTCTACCTTTAAAATCAGACGAGGCAAGCCTAGTAAAGCGGTTCCAGAGCTTACAAAATTATAGTTAATTCAGGAAAATTTTTCCCTGAAATTCTTTTCATACAACTTTGTACACAATAGGCCGGATTTAGCCCAATCATTGGCGTCACGGGGATTCCTATATAGGGTGAGTCTCCCACAAAAACGGGAAAGGTTGCCAGTTTTTGTTTCTGCTCCTCAACCAACATTCGATTTGACTATTGAGTTCATTCAGTATAAATTTCACTGATATCCATCCGTGCATGCAACAAATAACCTAAAACACTACCGACAGAATGTTTTCCAATATTTCCACAGGGGTTTTTAACGTTATTTAATGGCACCAACAAGAACCTGAACAAGGGGCGCCGAAATCTCCAGATGTTCTTTTCTGTGGGGTTTCTCCAGGACTGGGTGTACCACATTATGCCAAACACCCTGCAGGATTTTCGCCAACAAATTACTGGTGAAATCCAAGCCATTAGAAGAACACGGTTTGTCCGCAGAGCTACTGCAGACATGAGGACTCGGGCAAAACTATGCATTGATCTGAATGACAGACAGGTGGAAGGTCGAGCAGCAGTACAGTGAACACGTGAACCTTATCTGCTATTTAGTTTCAAGCTCAAATGTAATTCCAAATGATTGATGTCCTGTTCTGTTATTCCATTTAATTCCTTCATTGTCTGGAGATCCATTGTTGCCATTGTGTACATAGCAAAAGGCCAATTCTGAACATTGTGTTGGTAGTGTTTTGGGGGTGGTCACAAAGAAAGGCTTGTATCATTTGCAGGCATGGATGAATATCAGTGAAATTTGTACTGAATGAGATCCATACCCAAATCTAATGTTGGCTGAAGAGAACGACAAACTTGTAACCTTTCCCGTTTTTGTTGGAGACATTTTTTTTTTACTCACCCTTTATGATAGCACCTCCCGGCTCACAAGTGCCAGTCAGTGAGTCAGTACGTCAGTCAGTCAGGTACAAAGAGGACAATTTGCCGGTCCTCTCTGGGATCAGCACTTACCAACAGACTGTCAAGCTCAGTATCATTCCCTTGTTTTATACCAACCATAGGTCTTTCCAGCTTAAATGATTTAATTTATGAATAAACATTTTCAAGTAACATGTTCACCGCCTTGTTTTTCGCATGATTTTATGGACTTATTTGCCGCTGGCAAATATTTAAACAGACTTCTCCTCTTGCAGAAACGGGCCCTTCGAATAATAAACTTCTCAGATTTTAATGCACATACAGATCCCCTGTTCTTAAAACATAAAACTTTAAAACTCGATGATATTTATCATTATCAGCTTGGGTCCCTCATGTACAAGGTCGCCAGTAACAATATACCTTCCTCCATTAAAAGTATTTTTTCTCGGAATCTCGAAATTCATTCTTACTTTACTCGTCAAGCCTCTAATTTTCACATTCCATACACCCGTACTTCTTTTGCCCATAAAACGGTTAAACACGAGGGACCCATGCTTTGGAATTCAGTTCCTGATAAACTTAAAGCCTCTAAAAACATTTCGACCTTTAAACGTATTTACAAATCTATTTTGTTAGAAGCTTATAGCTGAATCTCTGCAATGCAATTGTTCATTTAAATCCAGTTAGCGAGCCTACATTGTATATAGCCCATGCCCTTAGGTACTTGTCTGTTTTTGTTTGTTCACATCTGTAAGTTAAACTTAGCTTTTGTAAGCAACATGTGCACTGAGCCCTGTTGGTATTTTTGTCTCCCAATCTCATGCCCTCTCTTTCATCTTCTTTCTGTAGGCTCAATGCACGTGTTTGCCTTATATAGGGACTTACAAGCTACAAGCTTTGCTTCCTAATGGATCCCTCTGCAGTATCACTTGTTCGTTAATTGCATCTTTATATATCCATTTATTTATTTATTTATTTATTTATATATTACTTTCTATGATTAACTTTTGTTGGATTAATACTGTGGAATAAATAAACCTGAAACCTGAAACCTGAAACCTGAAACCTGAAACCTGAAACCTGACTTTTTTAATTGATTGCTTGTACCAAAAAACAAAGATCCAACAATGATGGATTCCATTTATATCATTAAACAGACTCGTGAAATAAAATCCCATACTACTTACCCTAACTTTTTTTGAAATTAATAGTTTTCTGATATTGAAAAGGAGACAGCCAGTCGAAGGAATATAAAAATAAAAAAAATTACAAGACTGCAAAAAATTAATAAGATATATGGTGACGTCGAAAGCTACCACACTACGCGGCTCATCCTTCTTCAGAACGTAATCGATCAGAAAATGAGTTGTTTGCTTCATTACCGCGTGATACGGTTTGGCACCTTGACTTCCGCTTGCTGTCATCACTTTGATGTTTGAAGGTCGCCCGTCTGAGACATGTTCACACACGACTGCATACTCACACAGTACAGAGGATGTGGGGTTTGTTTTCTAAGAAGCATCGCTCGGAATTTTCACATGATTCAAACTATTTCACTCATTTTCCTGAATTGAGATTAATCTGGTGTCCACGGGTAAGAGGACCTTATTGAGGCGGTACAGATGTCGCATGCGCACGTTAACTCGACCAATATGATTGCCAGCATACTCACGTGATGCCGACATTCAGCAACTTCTCTTTTCTGCATGCATATATGATTGAAACATGGGCGGTTTAATAGTGTTTGTTGTTAATGCTTCATGTGCAGTGTTGCAGTCGAGTCATTTTAGTCGAGTCCGAGTCCGAGTCTCGAGTCATGTGGGTCGAATTCAAGTTCGTGTCGCTGGATTGAGTCCGAGTGCGAGTCCCGAGCAATTTGATTCAAGTCTGAATCACATTTCTACGCCATGCAGGAATATGCATGGAAATGGATATAAACAAATG